CTGAAACAGGATCCGCCACCACAGGATCAAACACAGAGCATAATATAGGATCCTCAACCCAAATGATTGTATATGAAACAATAGCTACACCATATAAACTAAATAACGCGAATTTAGCTCGTATGGAATTATTCCCACACATAATTAAACAAAACAATTATACGAATCTCTATCTTCACACTATTGGACAACAAACTATTAGAATAGAAAACTTATTACATCCTCCCACCTATAAGGAAAAGAAACAATTATTTTTTAAACCTCCTCTTGAATTAAATAAAGAAAAATTTCATATAGGTGATGATAATAAAACACTAATGGATCAATTAATTTCCAAATTATCCAAATTAGAAATAAAAGATCTCAAACCTAAAAAAAATATCATTATACCAGACAACGATAAAGGAAAAACAAAAATCCCAGAACATGATAATATGACTTTTCAAGAAGAAATAATGTTCCAAGAAGATGAAAATATTGAACCACCAATCGCCAACACAATAACAAATATACAAAAAGCATTTTTTGAACATCATATTACCCCGGATACGATAAATCGAGTCAACTATAATAAAAATTGGAAAAACAATAAATGCCCGACCATATTATAAGAGACCAACCCCAGTTGATATCCAATTAGAAGAAGACCTTACAAGTCATACCTCTACATATACTGGTCGAACTATTATAGATTGGAACATTGATGGAATTTCGATCACCGAATATTAGATACAATGAAACATATGACTATGTATGCTTCGGCATGTAAAATGGCTGGTAGTCATGATCAGGAAATAGCAAAAGCCATAGTTTCAGGATTTACTGGATGGCTAAGAGGATGGTGGGATTCCTATCTCAATGAACAAACAAAACAACAAATATTAACAAATACTTGTCAATTGACAGCAAAAAATGAACTCAACCAATATATGGTATACTCTGAAAGTGATGCTGTCAATTCACTGATTTATACAAGTGCTCTTCATTTCATAGGAAATACTTCAATACTTGCAGCTCGAACTGCTGATCTTTTATCTAATTTACGTTGTCCTACACTATCTCACTACAAATGGTATAAAAACGTCTTTTTCTCTCGTTTACTTATACTAGAAGATAGTCATCTTGACCACTGGAAAGAAAAGTTCGTAGCAGGATTACCATATCTATTCGCTGAAAAGGTCAAAGAACGTCTGAAAAATAAAAATAGTGGTATAATCAATTACTCTCAATATACTTTAGGTGAATTATCCTCTGAAATATGTGCTGAAGGCTTAGCCCTATGCAGTGATATGAAACTTAAAAAGCAACTTGATAAACGAAACATAAGTGGTAAAAAAGAGTTAGGAGACTTCTGCCAACAATTTGGTTATCATATTGATAAAAATAAACCACATAAAATACATAAATATATAAAAAGAAAAAACATCGCATTAATAAACCCGAAAAAACACATAAGTCTTTTCCAACAAAAAATAAAAACATAAGAAATTTACTAAACGATTTACATTTAAAAAACATCCAACAAAACAGTAAGAAATTACCTGTTTGCTATACATGTAGAAAAGTTAGCCATTATAAAAGCCAATGCAAAGTCAAACAAAAATTAGACTCTATTACATTAGATGAGCACATCAGAAATAAAATATATGACATTATTCAAATATATGATTCATCTACTAGTTCAGATACATACACTACTTCATCAAGTAGTGATACATCTTTTATAGGAACTATGCATAATGATGATTTTTATTGGTCCACAAATAGTAGTTCTGATACAGATGAAGAAATATGTAAATGTCCTATTACAACTTCTGATATTCATATGCTAACAAAAGAAGACAATCTTATTTTAGACCTAATAGAGAAAATTTCTGATCCTGATGAAAAAAAAGAAATAATCACTCAGTTTATTAATTTAACTAAAACAAAAACAAAACATATGCCATTAGTCAAACCTCCTGATAATTATAACTTTTCTGATATAATGAAACGTGTAAGTCAGCATGAAGCCACACAAAAAGAACCTACTATTGCTGAACTCAAAGCCGAAGTAAATACAGTTAAGATAGAAGTAACCCAATTAAAAAATAGAATTCAAATCCTTGAACTCCATAATAAAACTTTCGAAATAGACACTGATTCAGATGCCATAGAATTTGACCACTTACTCAAATCATATCATCCCAATGATTATATAAATCAATGCGAATCATCTACCAGCAAATCAGTAAATGTATTAAATAGAGTAATCACACAAAAATGGTTTATCTTAGTAACCATTGTCATAAGTAATGAATATGAATTCCAAACTCTAGCCTTAGTTGATTCAGGTGCTGATCTTAATTGCCTCAATGAAGGATTAGTTCCTACAAAATACTTCGATAAAACTACTCAAATCCTTAACACTGCGGATGGGAGTAGACTATTTATTAAATACAAGTTATCTAATGCTAAAATTTGTAATGAAGGACATTGTTTTCCTACTCTATTTATTATGATAAAGGGACTCAGCTAGGCTGTAATCCTTGGCGTACCTTTCCTCACTCTGTTATATCCAATTACTATTTCCCATACAAGTATTGAAACAAATACCCATGGTACCCCTATTAAATTTGAATTCCTTGATAAACCAAAAATCAAAAAAATTAATACTGTCAAACAAAATATCAAACAAAAAGAAGATTTTATAGGATCGTTACAACTTAAAATCAAACATAAGACTATCAGTGAAAAACTCCAAACTAATGATATGATACAAAAAATACAACAACTCAAAAGTCTTATTGAAAACGAAATATGTAATGATCTACCAACCGCTTTTTGGCATAGAAAACAACATATCGTTGGATTACCATATGAACCAAATTTGAGTGAAACAAAAATACCAACAAAAGCTCGACCTATTCAGATGAATACGGAATTATTACAAATATGTCATAATGAAATTAAAGATTTACTTCATAAGAAACTCATACGTCCCAGTTTATCTCCCTGGAGCTGCTCTGCTTTTTATGTCAATAAAAACGTCGAACAAGAACGAGGAGTTCCACGACTAGTTATTAATTATAAACCCCTCAATAAAGTATTATAATGGATTAGATATCCCATTCCAAATAAAAAAGATTACTCGATAGACTCTTACATGCAGTCATCTTCTCCAAATTTGATCTAAAATCTAGCTTTTGGCAAATACAGATAAAAGAAGAAGATAAATATAAAACAGCATTTAATGTCCCTTTTGGACAATATGAATGGAATGTTATGCCCTTTGGTCTTAAAAATGCTACATCTGAATTCTAGAAAATAATGAATGATATATTTAATCCTTTCTATAAATTCATGATAGTTTAT